CCCTGCACGGCCGCTGCTGCTCTCTCCTTCTCGCCTCCTTCCCTCTGCAGCGAGGCTCAACAACTGGCCCCCGTTGCCGTCCTTTTGCCCGGTGAAGCCATGCTTCTACCAAGACATCCCTGTGGAGATCCCTGCCGACTTCCAGAAGACCGTTTCTACCATGTATTATCTCTGGATGGGTGAGTCCCTGGGGGAAACCGAAGGGCAGATCCTGGGAGGGGGTAGAGGAACAAGCGTCCTGCATGCGAGTGAACGCTGCTGCTCTGGAGGGGTCGCGATTAACACGCGGTGCCCGGGTCCTGGGGGGATGAGCCCTTGGTGTGGGGAGGGGGGAGCCACACTGGGGTTGCCTGACCAATGTCCTCTCCCTCAGCCAGTACCATTGCTCTCTTCCTGAACTTCTTGTCCTCGCTGGCCTGGTTCTGCGTGGAGCCCTCATCCGGTTCGGGGTTCGGCCTCTCCATTCTCTGGGCTCTCCTCTACACGCCCTGCTCCTTTGTCTGCTGGTATAGGCCGATGTACAAAGCTTTCAGGTGTGTATCTGCCTGAGCTTCCAGGCCTGCGAAGCAGCGGGGTGGGGTGGCTGCGCGGCCGGTGCTTGACGCTGGGGAGACTGGGCCGCTCACTTGAACAGGCCCTTGCCCAGAGTGGGGCACCGATGGTGTCCCGGCTCCTTGTGGTCTTTGGGGCTGGGGGACGTGGCAATTCTGCGCTGACCTCTGCGTTCTCCTCGTGTCCCCTGCTTTACGGAGGGTTGAGAGTTCTCTGTGGCCTAACCTCACCTGTCTCTTTCTCCCAGGAGTGACAGTTCGTTCAACTTCTTTGTCTTCTTCTTCGTCTTCTTTGCCCAGAATGTGATGTACGTGCTGCAGGCCATCGGCATACCGAACTGGGGGTTCAGGTGCGCTTTGTGCTGACTCTGGGGAGCTCTGGCCTTCCGAGTACCCCAGAAAGGGAGGAGGCAGGTGGGGGAGAGGGAACCTGTGGGCAACTGCCTCTTGTTTTGCAGTGGCTGGATATTGAGCCTGATAGCGCTGCGGAAGAACACGGCGGTGGCTGTGATGATGATCCTGGTGTCCTTGTTCTTCACAGCAGTGGCTGTGTTGGGCATTATTATGCTGAAAAAGGTGAGTTTGGACCAAGCCTCGGGGCCAAAGCGCCACTTTGGGAGGACGAGGGTGGGTTTTGGCAGGCGTGGAGGCACAACCCTGACCCCGAGCCTGCTCCTCTCTTCCAGATCCACTCTCTGTACCGCCGGACAGGCGCCAGCTTCCAGAAGGCGCAGGAGGAGTTTGCTGCGGGGGTCTTCTCCAACCAGGCGGTGCGCACTGCGGCGGCCAATGCTGCCGCCGGTGCTGCCACCAACGCCTTCCGGGCACCGTAGCTGGGCGGGGGCCCCGGCTTCTCATCGCACGTGGGCTCTTTCTAAGGAAGAGGAAATCCAAGTTGCACTTTTCATTGGATCCCCGTGTGTCTGCATCAGCTGTCAGAGGCTGCCTCATCCCAGCTTGGAAGTGCTGGTGCCTGAATCGTCTGCTGCTCTAACCCCTTTCCTCACGGATGGAGGCTGTTCTGGTTTTTATGCTGGTCCCCTCCCCTCAGCGGACTGGGGAAGGAGTGGGGTGGGAGGTCCTGTGGCCAAGCCCTGTGCCTGTCGTCGCCTTCCCTTCCAGCACCAGCTGCTGGGGGCAGGAGCCCCCTCCAGCCGCATGACAGGGACAGAAACAGCTGCTCCCCTACCCTGGGCTCTCCTGTTTCCTCACCTGGTGATGCATGAAGGGTTCCCCTCGTGCCTGGTCCCAGGGTGTGCAGGGGCCGGCTCTTCCCCGGAGGCTGTTGCTTGCCTTTCCTGGGACATGGGGCCTGATTCTCTGCCAAGAAAATTGTCCCCCCCCCAGGGCTTGCTCTGTCCCCACGGTGCTGAGCTGGCAGGCAGCCCCCTTCCAGTCCCTTCCCCTGTCCTCTCCCTCTCTCCTGTGCTGGGCTGAGCCTGCTCCAGGCACAGGGATAAGGAGGGCAGGCCTGGGGCAGGCGGTGGTGGTGCATGTGCTGCTGGGGGGGCTTCCTGCTGCGGCTGCCTGGGACTGGCACAGAGTGGTCCCTGAAGCCGGACTGGGCACTGAGGAGGGATCCTGGTACCTCCTCCCCTCCCTCCTCCCCTCCAGGGAGGGGGTGAACAGCTTCTTCCTCCTCTCTGTCTACTCTGGGGCCAGTGACCCCTCACTTCCCTCCAGCACTCTCCACCCAGAGCCTGTCCCTGCCCCGGGGGCCTTTGCCCTCCTCCCTTCTTGGGGGCCGAGCTGGTCCCTGCGCGCAGCGCTGCCCCATATGTGCCGTGTGTCTTCCCCACTAGCCCCTGGTGTCCCCTGTCCCCTGGGCCAGTGGCCTCGGGGATCCCGGGGATGCCGGTTCTCATGAGTTCTGCTTTGCCCCATCTCTCCGATGCTCCCGGGTTTGTCCCTGCTGCTCCTGGGCTGG